GCAAAAAAAAAAAAAAAAAAAACCTAAATCTCAGCCTCCTCTGTAAAGTAGAAAACTGAGGCATCCCAGTGTCTTGTCAAACATCTTCAGAGTAGAGTTTTATTTTGAACTTGGGCCCTATGGCTATCAGGTGCCAGAGCATCTTTAGGAAGGAAAGAGGAAAGAACGCTGTCAGGTAGCTGAGGGATACTTAAAGTTCTTCATGCTGATTCATCCTCCAAATCCCACTTCAGAAGGAAATGCTTTCCAACTATAGGTACCCGGTTCTTGAAAATTCTGAAGATTTTCTAGGTGGATGCAACCCATGTTGCTGACACTAAAGTCTTAGCTCGTTCGGGTGGGTTTGGGCCTGCCTACCTTCATTGCCAGTGCTTTCGTTGTGTAGTTCTTTGGGTTTACAGGTGGAGAAGAGAAAGAGGGAATCACGAGCAGCTAGAATTTTAATCCAGTTCTGATGCCTACGGTGCCAAAACGTGCAAGCAGTGCAGGTGGGGAGGAGGGCCAGGAGCCACCTGCGACACTGTCCCTGCTCACGACCGCATCACCGGTACCCGTGGCTTGAACGGTAATTAGTCCACACAGAGCCAGGAAGCCAGGGATGAAGGGCATCTCATTGTGAGCCCTCTACCCGTGACCGGATCTCTTCTTAGTGCTTTTCAGCTTCTTGAGTTTTCTCTGGGGCTTCGAAAGGCTCCGCAAGACAGCTTCAAAAGTCCACCAACATCCTTTAGCATGTCCTCGGGGCTCCTGAGGCCACTCGAGACTGCTATGGGGAGACAGGCAGAAATCGAAACAGACCTGGCATCCCCTACGACGGGATGTGCTGGCACGGGACCAGGGCAGGGACGGCCTCTGCAGCAATGTTACTGCATCCATGATTGCAGGAGAACCTTCCCTGTGACGGCATATTATTAACGGAGAAGAGGTGTACTTGCTCTCTTTAATACATATTCCTCCTTCAAAATATGACAGAATGTACCCCTGCAAGCGATGTGTGCCATTCAAAACATTCTTAGTTCCCTTTTATTCTCCTGGACCTCTGGAAAATATTAAAAGATTGTTTCGTGATACCTCTGGGGAGAGAGGGCAGATGCCATATGTCCTTGTTCTGCGGGAGCGGAATACTAACACTTTTGGGGGGCAATCTGGTGTTTAGACTCTGACGATTCGTATGAGACCCAAGATGTGAACTCATGCAAAACGCACACAATCCAAACCAGAAAGAAAGAAATTAATTCAGGATGGAGAAATGATAAATTTCTATCATGGGAAGACCAGGACTGTGGGACTGAGATGCTATCGTGATCCGAGGACGAGCACATGGCCACCACTCCAGACTCAACAGATGACGCACCCTGGCAAGGAACCAGGCGCCGCGGGGGAAGGGCACGGGGATCTGCCAGACACGGGGTTTTCTGCTGCAGAGGAAATTAAGTTTAAAAGGGCTGGGTTTGCTATCAGTAAAAGTATCAACGAAATATAAAATTATATAAACGCACACACACTTCCACCCATCACTTTGGGGATGGCTTTCCCGACTTAACTTCTGTCTTCTTTGTACAGGGACAAATGTGTTGTGTGTGACTTTAGCTCAGCGAAGCCACTTTCTTACGGAAGACCCCTGGTCCGAGGCAGGAGGCACTGGTGCAGAGTGGTCCAAAGGTGTGGGTTTTGGAGCTGAACTTGAATCCCTGCCTTGCTAAGTACTTACTAGCTGAGTACTTAACTTACTTGGGCATCTAGCTTCTCCGGGCGTTCTTTATATGAGATGGAAACAGTTTGGGATTATAGATCATAATCTTATAACTATGGGATTATTATGATAATTAAATGAAGCATCATAAGTTAAGGGCCTTGTGTATAGTTTATGCTCAGTAAACAGTGGCTGCTCCTGTTTGAGGAGGTGTGAGGCCCAGGAAAGTCATGGGAAAATTTCTATATTTCGCAGTCATGCAACAGATGGTCAAGCTTCATGGTGGGAGTGGGGGAATGAGGGGGAGAGGGGGAAAGCGGGGCAGCAGGATTAGCAAAGGGATTTTTCAAGCTGCCTGTCACTCATGCCCGTCCCCGACACAGAGCGGCTGCTCTAGGGGTCGCTGTCACCGTCCTCAGGAATGGCTTGGCCCAGCTGCTATGTTGAGTGGGGCAAAGTCTGAGAACCACTGCTCCAGGGGAGCCTAAGGAGGGCTCCACTACGTTCGTCGGGCAAAGGGTGAAGGGAAGCAAATCAGTGGTCACTGGCCAAACTCAGGACCCTCACAGTGTCTGAGGCCCTGGGCAGAGGTCCAGCTCTAATGTGGCATGGATCTTCATCTCTAAGTCAAAGGACTTGGAGAAAAATAAGTTCTAGGTCTTGCAGACAGAGCCTCTAGTCTGAGACATCCTCTCTGAGTGGAGGTGGAGATTAAAGCGTTCTTTCCACACAGTGTTGAGAACTCGGGCAGCGCATAGGGCCCTCTCCCAGGGAGTAGGCGAAAGGGGAGCAGAGAAGAGCAGTGGGGAAGGTGCTCACCCCAGACCAGCCCCCAGGAAGCCAGCGGACACACTCCCTGAAGGAACCAGGTGGGTGCCCCCGCCTTTCCAGTACTCTGCTCAGCAGCCCTGAGAGGAAGTTGCTGGCTGACCGGGTCCCCCATAAGAAACGAACTCCAAATCTCACGCTGGGCTTAGGGTTTGAGGCGGTCTTGATCTGGGCTATGACTATTACTTGTCACTTCTCCAACCAGTAGCCCCAGCTACTGTCCTTGATTAGGTATCAAGGTCCCAGGGATAAACCTTTCACTCTAAGTCCTTCCCTTTGGCCCACAAGAGTGCCTAGCTCATTCATTTTAAAACATTTGAATGTGTTAAATGCTGTTTCTGTCAGGATCAGAACAGATACATTTTGAAGTTTTTTGAAGTTACTGTACTTAATTTTATGAAAGTTATGTGTTAGAGATATACACCCCATATAAGAATGTTCTGACCTTTACAAAATGTCTCAAAACAGGGCCGAAAAAACGATTCAATAGTTCTTTTTGTTTGTTTGTTTGTTTTAACAAAATAAAAGGACTTACCTGAAAGCTCTGGCAAAGTTTTGCTGAGTACATTAAAAAGAAAAATCAAAGTCCTTAATTTATAGATTGTCCCCAGGAATCACTACATTTTTCAAATCTGTTGTTAGATGGGCTTTTCTTTCTTTTAAATATTTTTTACATCTGGAGTTGAGACATTAACCTATTCCATATGTGCCACAGACTGCAAATAAAGACGCTGTCTTGGAAAACATAAGGCCAAGTGTTTCCTTTAAAGCTCAATGCAAATGATATCCTTCTCACCTTTCTACACATTCCTTGACAACAGCAAAGTTTCCATCTCCTATTGTCCTTCCGACTTTATATCGTTCTGTTATTGTGGCTGGAATCTGGAAGCCTTCCTCCAGCACTTCTGAAAGAATCATTAGTATGTTTTTATTGGTAGAAAAGGGAACACAGATGTTGCACAAAAGAGACGTTTAGAAGTATCATCTAATAGACTGGAACTGATTCAGCGTCAATATGTCATTTTCTGTATAGGGAGGCCAGTCCCCGACTCCCACCTCCTTGCTGACATTGCATCATCAACCATTATTACTAAGACGAATGATAAACTAAAAGGAAACGTAAAATGTATGGGGTCCACTGCCACCTAGGTAAAAGCAACTTATGCTTTCTGCCGCAGTGGGGATTCTGAGGAGGAAGTTTCACTTTTCATTTCATGCCAATTTGATCAATAGCGTTTACTGCATACCTATGGTGTCCAGAAAAATGACATTCCTAGGTAGGGAGGAAAATGCAGTTCGTAAGGGACTCTGGGCCGCTTGACACTGTACAAGCATGAAAAATGCCTGCTGTTTGGACACTTAGCTTTACTACATCCTGAAATAGAGATCTCCGTAAAATTCCTTATGAACTAAGCACTGATTGCTACCCCTCCCCAGTATCAATGAGCAGATTTTAGACAAATTTCTCACCAGATGTTGAGTTAAAACTGCAATATCTATTATGTCTGTGAACAGTTTTGTAGTTTCAATTATGTTAGTGCCCCTAACACAACGCATTTTCCCCCTTAAAATGCATTTTGAATTATTTTACAAATGCCTAATAATGCTTTAAATATCTAAGGCCATAAAACTAAATAAGCCACACTTAGGTCACATAAATATAGCGGATAACCTTTAACATCTTAGGGGTATAAAAAGGCTTTTATAGCTGGGCTCTAAAATTTACATGCTTTAAAGTTATAAATCCTGGCTTTCCCTCAGGCGACCTGAATACAAAATGTGATGGAAGCCTAGTGTGCTTTCTAAATGTGCTCCTTTTCTGACCTTTAATCATAAACTGAGACTAAACATTTCTTCTCAAAATAAAATTAAAACCGTAGGTGGCAAATGGGCTTTCTTGGTGATTTCCGTATTCTCATTGAGTTTAGTCTGCAGGGTTGGGGAATGGGAAATGGAAACTCACAATCAGCAGATATCTGCTTTAGGACCCTTACTTATTCTGGTTTTGTGATCATATCCAGTCTGCACCACTCTGGATTCTAGAGTGGAGGAAATTTCTGGAAAGTGTGTAAAAATGTAGGACATTTTCTGCTGCTGCTTTTGTCCTCGGCATTTCTGCGACCTCTTCACCACTTTACAGGTGACATTTTACGTTTAACCCACTAGAAGCTACCTCAGTGGTCTCCGGAATAAAGCGAGACCTGGGGACTTAGCTCCACTCCCCCCCCACCCCCTCCATCTCACCCCAAAGAAGCCACAATTTTGCCTCCGTTTGAAGGATTCAGTCTGGGGATTTTTGTCTAGCCCATGGTTATTACAGAAAATGGTCAGAGAAGTTTCAAATCCACTGTAAAGCACCCGAATTTACAAAGTATCTCTCGGATGACACGGTCTTAAGGCTCTTTACTACACGGATAGTAAAAGTCACCACCCTTAGCTGTCAGCGGCAACCCTGGCTTCAGATGGGAAATGTAGGGAGGTACTTCCATCCTTCCTTCCACTGGGCACCCATCTGGAGCACATGGCTTGGGATTTTTTTCCTGACTATTGAAAAAAATGTATCTTTTAGGCTTTTGGCTAAGAAGAGTTAGCCAAAAATGCTCCGTCAAGGACCATTTCATTTCATTAGGTAAATAAAACACATTGGAACAAAAGAGGCTTCTGGATGGCTGAATTTCATACTTCTGGAAATACCAAAAAAGTCTGATATTGCATGGTAGTCAGGAAATAATCCTTGGGTAAGTCAGGTATCTCACATAACATAATAAAAGTGTTTCCCCCAAATGGTACTTTATTGGAAAATTAAATCATATTATTTAAAACAAATAAGGGGTGCTGATTCTGTAACAGTGGCTTGATCATATCAGTTTTATACTTTAGTTTCGAAATACTTTCTCATAATTGATTTGAGCCTGATAATAACCCCCAGGGAGGAAACAGGCATATATTACAATCTCCATTTCATAGAAGAAAAACTGAGATGTGGAGAGCAGAAGAGGCTTATCTAAAACAATCCAGGAGTTAGCAAAAAAGTCTATTCTGGAATCCACATCATCTCACCACTTTCTGAAGTGAATTCACTTAAGGTCCAAAGAATAGTTTTGCAATTGCCATCAATTCATTCTTTCTGTAAAGCCAGATTTTCACATGTTGACTTCACTTAAGTTAGAGTGCCTCTGCAGGGCTATCACAGTCAAGCAAAAGAGTAAAGATGTAGGGGCTTCCCTGGTGGTGCAGTGGTTGAGAGTCCGCCTGCCGATGCAGGGG